ACCTGCTTCTAAAAAATGTCATTGTTATTACTGATCTGGACACAAATCAGCAAGTACTGGATACTCAATAAAATTTAGTAGTTGTCATTATTGTTGTATAAATGCTATGTAGAACATACATAATGCTCTATGAGCACATCACATTTCATTATATATAAATTGTGTTATATCATCTATGATATTGTTAACATATTATATATTTTATTACAGTTAGAGTCATTAATTATACATATTTAAATAAAACAAAGTTGGGTTTGCCTAGGAAAGAGTAAATGAAGAATCACTTTGATTTACTACTCAGTAATCATTGGAAGGATTGGTACAATTTGTTGAAAATACTTCAAATATTTCGGATTCAGTGATTCTTTGAAAAAATTATTTGGAGTGGAGTGATGCCCTCAACATTGTGGGAAAAATTCTTAAAATGCGAAATTTGCTATAATTCAAAGAAGCATCTTCCTAAGATTGAGAAAGAAAGGCAATATGGTCCAATCCAGTCATTTTCAAACCTTTTGTGACCTTCACCTTTAGTAAGATAGACATTTTACATCATGATCCAATGTATACTTTCTGTCTATTGATAGGTGAATGTATCATCTATCTAGAGCTAAAAATTGTCACAAAATAATACCTAGTTAACTAGATTTGATGCACTCTATATTTTCTGGACTATTCTATTCCATTTCTTTTTAAATACTTTTTGTGATCCATAGTTTGAAAAATGCTGGATTCATGAAAAGATGAGCTAGAGAGACAGATTTCGTATGAATCTGTGTCCCATTATGACTCCTTTCCGCAAGCTTGCCTAGTTACTTCTTTCCATTGAATCTTGTTTTCTTCATATTAAAGTGAATGGGGTTGTTCTGCTAAGTAAAGACAATTATATGTGATGTGATTGGCATGTATGAGGCACTCAATAAATCAATAAATGATAAGGTAGCAGGATAATGTTTTCTAATATTAATCAAGTGTTTTCCACTACATTTCCTTATGTGCTTTGTCATCTATTATCAAGGCAAGGTTGTTACAGAACTGCTGGACTGTTCTTATCTGTTTGGTCTTTCAGTTAATTGATTCTCTCTCTCTCAGTGTTTTTTTAGAATTAATAAAGTCACCAATCTCCTACTCCTGTAGACATGGTGAAGATGCAAGAGTATGAGCGAAAGTGAGAGAACAGGAAAGAAAGACATCCACTAAGCCTGGTTTCAATGAGGTCGCCAACCATTTAATCATGTCCCTTTACCCCAAACAACAATTAGCACTTGATCACATCATCACACAGTCCATATGATTCCCAGATTCTGGTGGCTAAAATATCCAGAAACAGATTTTATTATTTTAATGAAACAATCAGATTGAACATATGAAAGTTAGCCTACTCTGCATTAACCAGAAAGCAGTCACTTTCTAACTGCATATGACAGACAGAAAAAGTACTAAAGGAAGTTATATACAGTGAAACCATTAAATGCAGATTTGCCACAAGGCAAGATGGTAATACTTGAACATTATGAAGTGCAAAAACTGCACAAGCACATTATATTTTAAACACTTCATCTATTTAACAAACTATGTATCCTCTTCGGCTAAATAAGATGAATTGAGATTCAAGAGGCAGCACCATACTGGCAAATCTCATCCTAAAGGCATCCATTAATATAAATCAACAGCAGCAATTTGGTTTGATCATTTATTTGCAAGAATCATTAAGGTTTATTAGCATAATTGTTCCCTCTGGGATTTCATGTCAAGGAAATGAAGAATGGCATTATCAATATTTAAAAGATAAGTGTGTAATGTTCAGAGTACTTCAACAGTCATCTGCAGGTGGTGTCCAGCTGCAGCAAATTAGATTAGATTTGGGCATTTTTCTGAACGAAAGGAAAATTATTCTAATTGCTTCATTTTATAAAGCAATACCATTTTGGTAAAATAAAATAATTTTACTGTATGGTTACATGTTACAGTGCACATGCTTTATTTCAGATCAGTAACTGTTATGTTGTAACTATTGGGGAACATTAATCAGTTTAATTCATTTATTATAAGGAAAAGCTCCTTCCCCTCAGTACTCTAGACCTTTGAGCCTAGACCTGTAGATAAAAAGCTATTTTCAAGAGGGATGTCAACCAGAAGACTTGCTTTTAATGTTGGGAAGGCATAAATCCTCCCTTAACAATGAAGTATCATTGATGATAGTAATAATTTACCACCAGAAATAATATTTAAATGTAATAATTGTTTTTTTAATAATGGCATGCAATGGGATGTTATTTAGTGATAAAAATAAATGAGCTATCAGTCACAAAAGGATTTTCAGAAACCTTTAAATGAGCATTGCTAAGGGAAAGATGCAGGTCTGAAAAGGCTACATACTGTATGATTCCAATGATATGACATTCTGGAAAAGGGTAATCTATACAAACAGTAGAAAGATTAGTGGTTTCCAAGGGTTTGGGAGGAGGGAGTTAGGGAGAAATGAATAGGTAGAACACAGAGAATTTTTAGGCAATGAAACTTTTTTGTATGATACTGTAATGATAGACACATGTCATTATGTGTCAAACTCCTGGCCTCAAGCAATCTTCTTGCCTCAGTCTCCTAAATAACCAGAATTACAGGTATAAGCCACCACTCCTGGCCAGATATATGACATTATGTGTTTCTCAAAACCCAGCCAGGTGTGGTGGCTCATGCCTGTAATCCCAGCACTTTGGGAGGCCAAGGTGGGAGGATCACTTGAGGTCAGGAGTTCAAGACCAGTCTAGCCAACATGGTGAAACTCTGTCTTTTCTAAAAATACAAAAATCAGCCTGTAGTCTCAGCTACTTGGGAGGCTGAGGTAGGAGAATAGCTTGAACCTTGGAGGTGGAGGTTACAGTGAGCCAAGATTGTGCCACTGCACTCCAGCCTGGGTGACAGAAGCAGACTCCATCTCAGAAAACAAAACAAAACAAATCCTTAAACCTATACAAAACAAAGAGTGAACCCTAATGTAGACTACAAACTTTAATTAATAATATTAATATTGGTTCATCAGCTGTAACAAATGTACTACACTAATGTGTAAGCTAAAAATGGGGGAAATTGTATGGTGAGGAAGAGAGGGAAAACAGAGAGAATTCTCTGTATTCTGTCAATTTTTCTGTAATCCTAATGCTTTGCTTCGAAAAAAGAATAAAGTCTATTAAAATTTTTAATAATTGTTAGGCTAATTTTTTTAAAGGTTAAAATCAGCTCATTGTTATAGTTGATTGCATTTGTCTTGGATTTAGGTCAATATTCTGGCCAAAATCCTTTTTTCAGACAGATCAACTATTAAATTACATGAGCCCTTCTACAATACCCAAGGGTATACTGGAAATGAGGAATTACTGAAGTTCCTTTCAGAACCAAAAGTTCTCAATTTGAGAAGTAAACAATGAAAAACATACATGTTTGCTGAAATACTTTGCAATGTCACTATTTCACTATTAGGAATTAACAAATTCAAACCCACACTCTGTTGAATGTGTTATACCCTGTTTAACCCTGATCCCATACCTGTCTCCTATCCCTTCTATAGAGGGCCCAACCCTTTGGGGAGATGAATATGCCAAGAAGAGAAATCTATAGCAGGCTGCCTGCTTTGCTCCATCCCCGATCAGTTAACACAGAACACCAAGAGAGCGGGTTTATGCCTTCTCTCTTTTCCTCTCAGACAGTGATGGCCATGAGTAGAGTAGTAGAGACAACATAGATATGCAACCATGTGATAAATGACCAAGGACAGAGAGCAGCAACCTTAATTGTATGATGGAATCAGGAGAAGTCACTGATTTTTAGTTTGTTCTGTTTTTTTTTTCTGGTTGCATGGATGGGGTGACGACTTCCAAGCTTTTGCATATCAGCACTGAAACTGGAAGTCCTATCTTTAAGCAGACATATTGCTACAGAAGATAGAATTCAAATTAGAATAACACAACGTTATGCCACTAATTACCTTTAAAAAAAATTTTAGTGTTGGCTGGGTGTGGTGGCTCATGCCTATAATCCCAGCACTTTGGGAGGTTGAGGCGGGCAGATCACCTGAGGTCAGGAGTTTGAGACCAGCCTGACCAACATGGCGAACCCCATCTCTACTAAAAATACAAAAATTAGCCAGGCATGGTGGCGTTTGCCTGACATCCCAGCTACTAGGAAGGCTGAGGCAGACAATTGCTTGAAATGAGGAGGCAGAGGTTGCAGTGAGCTGAGATCCACCATTGCTTTGGGTGACAGAGCGAGACTCTGTCTCAAAAAATAATAATCATAATAATATTTTTGACAAGATTTCTCTGAATGTATCATTTCTAAAATCAGTACATCTGACTAATTTCTGATACATTCTCATTCTTAAACTCTTCCATTTAAAATGGACATTCCTGTCTAACCTGCCTATGAAATAAACCAGCCCACCATCCCGCCATCATGTAACGTGCTCTCTATTGGTACCTAGACCACAGAGCAGAGTAAGATTCATGTAGCTCTCATACATTTTAGTCCCCAAAATTTACCACCAGGTTCTGGAAGGGCGTCGGTGGGGGGGGTGGGTTTGAAGTGAAGCCTCCTGGAAACTCGTGTAACCCTCAGTGCCTCACAGCCCAGCAAAGGGGGATAGCGACCTGGACTCCCACTGCTGAGGTTGAAACCAGTCATCGTCCCTAGCACAGACCTGGCTGAATAGGCACTTAGCGTGCAGGATGCTTCATGCATGGAAACTAACTTTGGCTCCATGTATTAGACAGTAGTTTATTTCCGTGTGCGTAGTTTCCACAGACCTCAACTTGGCTCCCAAACCCACTCAAACCAGAGTTTGGCCGCTGGAGGGAAATCTAGCCTGTAGCCGACTATAAAGGGCTTGGGTCAAACCACAATCTGAACTTCCCGCCTTTCTAATTTAGACCTATAGAAGTAGCCATTCTAGGTCCTAAGAAGCTTAATGCCGATTGGATTTTACCGCATCCAATAGGAGGCCACGCTCTGCTTGGGTCAGCTTTGGTCGCGCGGAAGGCGCGCTGCTCCACCGTTGCCAGGACGCCGCGTAAACACCGAGCAACCGCAGCCTGTTGCGCTCCTTGGCGCGGCTAGTTGCTGCCTTTGCGGCGGGAGGTGGTGGCCGCGGGAGCCCGAGAGGGGTTATTTTTCGTCAGCTAAGATGGTGAGCCAGTTGGGGGGACTTGAAACTACTTGTTTATTTGTTGATTTAATTATAGTTAGAGCTCGCCTGCTTCTGAAAAAAGGATTTGAACCTAATCTGATCATTAAGTGGGGAACTTGTCTTTGTTTTCGGAGGCCTCAGGTGCTATTAGATAAGGGACGCTCGCGGTGGGGTTTCCAGCCTTTTTGGCATTTTTCCCATAGAGTATTAAATACAACTTTAAATCTACCCAGTAGAACCTCTGAAGAAATAAGTAGAAATAAAAGTGTAGGAGAAAGCGAATGAATAAATAGCAGCGAGTTGACCTATTACATTTATATTAGGCAAACCTGACCAGCTTCTGAACAGCACTTTATGGCCCTGTGGTGGTAGTGGTGGTGGTGGGTGGAATGAAGAGAGGAGAAATTACCTGGTGGTAGTAAAGGTCTGGGTCTGTAGGGTGCGATTAATCCTAGTACAGCTATTTATTAGCTGCAGAACCTTGGGTAAAGTTATTTTCATGTTTCATCTATAAAATAGATAATAACACTACCTATTAGATATATCAACATATTCATCTACCACATTTTTTATTCGATATACTCCTTTGAATTTAGGAAGGAAGCCAGACTCTTTGTATCCTTTAAGATTTATATCAATACATTTTTATAAATTATATTTTGGAATATCAAAATCTGCATCTTATTTTTTCTTCTCTCTTAGGCTTCCAAAAGGAGAAATTTGAGCTGTAGTGAAAGACATCAGAAATTAGTAGATGAAAACTACTGCAAAAAATTGCATGTCCAAGCGCTGAAAAACATCAACAGTCAAATTAGGAATCAGATAGTACAGAATGAAAATGACAACCGTGTTGAGCGCAAGCAGTTTCTCAGATTATTACAAAATGAACAGTTTGAGTTGGATATGGAAGAAGCCATTCAAAAGGTAAGTTTTACTATTTTTTTTCTTCATTTTGCACCTTGGAAATAATGAAAGTGAGCTGCTAATGCTGGAAATGAGAAGATAAACAACAGCAGCAGGTAGGGGATGCCTGATTGTGCCTCAGCTCAGTGTAATGGTTAAGAGCTGGGTTTCTGGAGCCGGCCTGACTTTGAATTCTGCTACTGCTATACCTTAGCTACAGACTCACATTGCTTTTACTTTTTATGTTTTTTCTATAAAATTGGGAAAAATTATAGTATCTCCTACTTAGGATTGTTTTAATAATGAATTAATACATGCAAGGCCCTTGGAATAGTGCCTGGTACAGAATAAGTACTCAGATTTTTTTTTAACATAAATATGAAATCCGTAATTACTAACTTCCACTTTTGTTCATGTAAGTACAATTGTGTTGCCTTTCATAAATTTCTAAAGACAAAATTTAAGAACACCTTAAAAAAATTTATCAAAATTAACGTGTACATTATTAAGTGGTAGAAAATCAACACTTAGGTGTTTCTCAATATTTTAAGGAATTGGAGTGGTAGAAAAGGGAACTAATAAGAATTGAGATGTATGATAAAAATGAATTCTCATAAATACAAAAAAGGTAGTCTGATATGTCAGTTTTTGAGTAACTGCTGTATATTAAACATTTTGGAAGATTTTGTGGAGAATAACAAAAGCAAATTTAAAAAATGGATCCACCCCTCTGTGTTCCAAATTCAGAAGCTTTTTTCTTTTTTTTTTTTTTTTTAAACTCGGAGAAAGCAGATCTTAGGGACTGGATGTTTTTCTTATTCTATTATTTTTTAAGTTGAAAGAAAATCCTAGGTACCGTACCAAGTGTCTCCCACATACTTAAGTGTACATCTAACAAAATATGGATGGTTTCTTACATGGAGTACCATAATACTATTATCTCACCCATTCCATAAACACATTTCTGTGATTGTGTCAAAAATCTGCTTTTACAGTTGGTTTATCTTAACCAAGATCCAAGCAAGGTTCATACAGTATATTTGGTGGTTATGTTGAAGTCCCTCTTAATTGAAAACAGCCCCTCCTTCACCATTTTTTTTTTGACTTCATGTTTTTAGCTTGTTAAACTAAGCCAGCTGTTTTATCAGGCAGCCCACTTTCTGAATATATGTGTTTGCTTCCTCATGTTCCTTTATTTCCCTATCTTTTATATTTCCTCTAAATAGAACCTAGATTGAGACACAATTAGATTGAGGTCCAACTTTTTTAGCAAGAATAGTCCATAGGTGATGCTGTCCTTGTCATTGTGTCACATCAGGGAACACATGAGGTCTGGTTGTTTCACTTTTAGTGATACCAGTATTGATCAATGGGTTTAGGGAGACAGTCTGGTTTCTCCATTCTAAAGGTTCCCATCAAACTGTCATCTGTGGTTTCATAAGATAATTTTTTCTTTCATTAGTAGTTACAAAAACTGATTTTCTAATTCTTTTATTCCTTTCACATTTAATTAGCTAAAATTCCTCTGTAAAGAACTTTACCTCAGGCCTGTGTAATGTCTCACCCCTATAATTCTAGCACTTTGGGAGGCCAAGATGGAAGGATCACTTGAGCCCAGGAGTTCAGGGCAGCATTGAAGCTATCATCTTGCCACTGCACTCCAGCCTGGAGGACAGAGACCCTGTTCCCCTGCCCCCACCCCCATACCCCCCAAAAAAGAGAAAAATTAAAGAACTTATATTATAGACTAGGGTTATTTATTCTTACTGAAAAAGGAGACAGTTAATTTTCAGGGTAAAGAGTTGCTGCCCTATTTTCTTCCATTGGTGTCTACGTATGTTGTGGTTTTAAAAATTTTGTTTTCTTTAGTTTTTGACTTTTTCTCTTTAAAAATACCTTTATGGACTCATAGATGTTACATACTTAAATTAATTGCATTTATTATTTTTGATGCTCCAATGATCTTATCCTTGGCCAATGGATGCCTTTTTATATTGCCTCTGTCTTTGAGACAAGAGTCTTCATCTGTCTCCCAGGCTGGAGTGCCACGGCACCATCTTGGCTCATTGCAGCCTTCGCCTCCTGGGTTCAAGAGATTCTCCTCCCTCAGCCTCCCCAGTAGCTGGGATTACAGGCCTACACCACCATGCCAGGCTAATTTTTGTATTTTTAGTAGAAATGGGTTTCACCATGTTGGCCAGGCTGGTCTGGAACTCCTGACTTCAAGTGATCTGCCTGCCTTGGCCTCCCAAAGTGCTGGGATTACATGCGTGAGCCACTGAGCTCAGCCCTCTGTTTCATTTTGATAAGATTTCCTTGATCTTTGATACCTTCCTTGCTTTCTGTCAAACAAAATCTTTTAGGCTTGTGATAATTTTGTGTGTCAACTTGATTGGACCTTGGGGTGCCTAGGTATTTGATAAAACATCATCCTGGTTGTTTCTGTGAGGTTGTTTTGGATGAGATTAGCATTTAAATCGGTATGCTGAGTATAATGCACACTGGATGAGGTAGGTGAGCCTCATCCAATCAGTTAAAGTCCTGAATAGAACAAAAAGATTGACCTTCCTTTGAATAAGGGAGAATTCTTCATACCTGATTGCCTTTAAACTGGGACATCTGCTTTTTTTTTTTTTTTCTTCTTGTCATTGAATTCAAACTGAAACATTGGCTCTGGATCTTGAACCTGCTTGTTCTCAGCCCTTAGGACTCAAACTAGAACAAAACCATTAGTTCTTCAGCTTGCCAGCTCACCTTGCAGATCTTAGAACTTGCGTGCCTCCATAATCACTTACTTCACAGAACCCTGAGAAATACAAAGCTCATCTAGTATATTTCTTGTCCTACACCTGGAATCAGCCATGCTCCGGGAGGCCCTGTTATCAGTTAGTGAAAATAATATTTCAAGGTAACTTGGGTGTTACCTTGTATACTCATAATTCTTGGGTTATCATTTCTTCTGGGGCTTTTCAGTGAAGAAAAATCTTGGAAATCTGCATATTTTTAACTTTTATTTTGATATAAGTTTAGATTGATAGAGTTGCAAAAATAGTGTTAGATTGATAGGAGAGCTGCAAAAATAGTGTAGAAAATTCTCATATACCTTTCACCTGACTGCTGCTTAACATCTTAAATAGATGAAAATCATAGAAAAGTTATCAAAATGGAGAAGTACTGATAACTGTGAGATTTATTCAGATTTAATTGTTTTTTCCACTAATATCTTTTGTTGCTACTTGAGGATCACAAATTGCATTTAGTTGTCAAGTCTCGTTAGTCTTGTGATATTAAATAATTCAAACGTAGAGCTGTTGGAACTTTAAATTATTTTTAGCCTTGAGAGGAATGTGCTTATGTGTCCTGAGTCACATAGCATGCTGCTGCAACTTCTGCTTTTCCAATTACTGGTTAAATCTTCCTTATTCTTGTTCTGTAAATGATTAGGAAAGATACCAGAGATAAAACCCCTCAAGATCATTACCCCTTCTTAGGGAACGTTCCTTGGAATGCAGCAGGCTATAACCAATTAAATTGCTATAATAGATACACTGACCTTATATGGAAAACGTTGCAACTCTGTTAAGCTTCTCTGTCTCTGCCTACATGAGTGAAACTTTAACTTTCCCGCGTTGGAACAATGATCCGTTATTTTGGAGTTTGTGTTTCCTGAGTGGCTATTCTCAAGCTTTGCGCTTGAATAAACTATAACTATTTTTTAAATCTAGTTGTTTCTCCTCCAGTCTTTGTTCCTCTTTTTTCATGTCTTTTATGGCCTTAACAATTTTGAAGAGTACACTTTAGTTGCTGTAGTAGTTTTCTGTTGCTAAGTAGCAAATTACCACCAACTTAGTGGCTTAAAACTAAACTATTTATTATCTCAGTTTCTGTAAGTCAGAAACCTAGGTGTGCTGTAGCTGGGTTCTAAATATATTTCCAAGAGATAATCGAAGGCATATATCTATATAAAAACTTATACATGAGTATCTATAGCAGCATTATTCATTACACCCCAAAAACAGAAACAACCCAGATGCCAATCAGTTGAGAAATGGATAAACAAAAGGTATTACATCATTACAGTGGAATATTACACAGCCATAAAAAAGGAATAAATTGCTGATACATGCTACAACATGGATAAACCTTGAAAACATTATGCTAAGTGAAAGAAACCGGATAAAAAAAGGCCACATGTTATGTGATTTCATTTATATGAAATATGCAGAATACGCAAATCCATAGAGACAAAAAATAGACTTGTGGGTCCCAGGGGTTCGGGGAAAAGGTGAGAGGAGTAGTGAGTGACTGCTGACAGGTTATAGGTTTATTTTGGGGTGATGTAAACATTCTGGAGCATTAACATTTTATGCCACACACAATTGTACACACAGATGTGCTCTATATAGTGTGTACACGCAATCACCTATGTATGTATCTATGGTATATATAAAAACATAGTATTTATAACATGGTAGCTTTATAGCTGCCATAGCACAACTGTTTATAATATATAGCAGCATTATGCATAAATGCCAAAATTTAGAAGCAACCAAGATGTCCTTCAATAGGTAATGGATAAACTGATACATCCAGGCAATGGAATATTACTCAGTGCCAAAATGAAATGAGGTATCAAGCCATGAAAAGATGTGGAGGAACTTTAAATGCATATTACTAAGTGAAAGAAGCCAGTCCAAAAAGGCTCCATTATGTATAATTCCAACTATATGACATTCTGGGAAAGGCAAAATTATGGAAACAGTAAAAATATCAGTTGTTTTGGGGATTTTAAAGGAGGAAGGGTTTAACAGAGTGCAGAGGATTTTTAGGGTAGTGAAACGATTGTGTACAATACTATTGTAGATACACATGATTATGCATTGCCAAAACCCATAGAATGTACACCACCAAGAATGAACCTTAATGTAAACTGTGGACTTAGGGTGATAATGATGCACAGGTTTAAGTAATGTAAATACAGGTTGAGTGTAACAAATGTACCAGTCTAATGGAGGTGGTTAATAATAGGGAAGGCTGAGCAAGTGTGGGGACAGGGAGTATATGAGAACTCTGTGTACTTTCTGCTCAATTTTATTGTGAACCCCAAACTTCAGTGTCTGTTTTTATTAAGGTTCTGGAACTAAATAGTGGTGACAGTAACACAAGATTGTGAATATACAAAATCACTGAATCGTGAAAGGTGAATTTTATGCTATATAAATTATATATCAATTATTAAAAAAAAAATGTTCCAAGAATGTTATATAAATGGCATCAAACTGTGTGTAATCTTTTGGAATTAGCTTTTTTCACTTAGCGTAATTCCTGGAGATTCATTCAAGTTTTGCTTGCATTCTTTTTTATTGCTTCATTTCCTTTTATTGCTGAATAGTATTCCATAGTATGGATGTACCACAGTTGATTTGACCATTCACATGATGATGTCTGGAGCATTTTCAGCATTGGCTATTATAAATAAATCTGCTGTAAACATTTGTATACAGGTTTTAAAATAAGCAGTTTTCATTTCACTGGGATAAATGCTTAAAAGGTAAAATTGTTGAGTTGCGTGATAATTGCATGGAGGCTTTTTTTAAGAGACAGGGTCTTGCTCTGTTGCGCAGCCTTAGTGCAGTGGCATGATCGTGGCTCACTGTAGCCTCTAACTCCTGGTTTCAGGTGGTTCTCCCACCTCAACTTCCTGAGTATCTGGGACTACAAATTTGTGCCACCACACCTAGCTAATTTTCTGTAAAGACAGTGTCTGTGTTGCCCAGGCTGGTCTCAAATTCCTGGCCCTAAGAATCCTCCCACCTCAACCTCCCAAAGTGTTGGGATTACAGGTGTAAGCCACCATGCTCAGTTGCATGTTAGTTTTCTATCAAACTGATTTTCAGAATGCCTGTACCATTGTACATTCCCACACACCAATATATGAGTAATAGTTTCTTGCCAGCATTTGGTGTTGCCACTGTTTTTAATTTTAGCTATTTCAATAGATATGTAGTAATATCTCATTGTAATTTTAATTTGCATTTCCTGATGGCTAATTATGTTGAACATCTTTTCATGTGTCTTTATTAGATACTGAATTTAATCAGACCTCTAGATTTTTCTGCCATTTTACAGGAAGTATAAAAGAGAAATAAGTGATATATCCTGGGGAAGCAATCAGTCAAATGCAAAATGTGGAACATTCTACAGGATGTATGTCCTAATTTCTATAACAAATCAGTGACTTGGGGGAAAAAATGTGTGTAGTGAGGTGATTGTTACAGAATACAAAAGAGACTTAAGAAAAATAATAATTAGATGAGATATGTGGATCTTGTTTGGATTTTGATTTGAGCAAACCAACTAGAAAAAAAGTATCTTGAGACAATTGGGGAGGCTTGAATATGGATATGGTAGTAGGCATTAAGAAAGGAATTATTGTTTTTTTTTTTTTGAGACGGAGTTTCACTCGTTACCCAGGCTGGAGTGCAATGGTGTGATCTCGGCTCACCGCAACCTCCGCCTCCTGGGTTCAGGCAATTCTCCTGCCTCAGCCTCCTGAGTAGCTGGGATTACAGGCACGCACCACCATGCCCAGCTAATTTTTTGTATTTTTAGTAGAGACGGGGTTTCACCATGTTGACCAGGATGGTCTCGATCTCTTGACCTCGTGATCCACCCGCCTCGGCCTCCCAAAGTACTGGGATTACAGGCTTGAGCCACTGCGCCCGGCCAGGAATTATTATTAGACATGTTAATGACATAATTGTTATATTAATCGGAATTTAGAAGTTCTGATCAGTTAGATATTCATACTGAATTATTTACATGGTAAGTGACATGATGTCTAGGATTGTTTTAAAACAACCTAGCAAAAAAATAAGGGAAAAAAGAGTGAAATGGAAGGTAGAGAAAAAAGATTGGCAGCATCTTGACATTTTTTGAAAACGTGGGTGATGTGTTCCTGAGAGTGTATTTTAATATTCTTACTATTGGCAATATTTGAAATTTTCCATGGTAAAATGTTTTGAAAAAGTATTTATTGAAACAATAGTTTGCATTTTAAAAGAAAACATAGTTGATTGTTGCCCTTAAGCCATTCAGTTTTCTGTTATAAAATCAACCTTGATGAAAAAAAAAATCTGATTCTAGAGGACAAATAATGAAGTTCCATTTTTTGTTCAGGCAGAAGAAAACAAGAGATTGAAAGAACTCCAGCTTAAACAAGAAGAAAAATTGGCTATGGAATTGGCAAAACTAAAACATGAAAGTCTAAAGGATGAAAAGATGAGGCAACAAGTAAGAGAAAACAGGTATCTTGGTTTCTCTAAATTTCATTTATTTAGTCTTTATCTTTAAACTCTTTATTTATTTTTTAAATTCAGTCTCCGCAGAGACTGTCAAAAATTGCCAGTGCCAACTATATTGCAAGTCTTCATGGTAGGGTATTGGGAAAAGTTTTGAATTAGCAATAATTGCTCCTCAGATTAACCTCATTGGCTATGATATTGCCACGCGCAAAGCTATCTTTAATTCTTATGTAATTCTTAGCGCGCCTGAAAGTGAATTTTGTTTGTATCATTTCACTTAGTTAATGTTTTGCCTGGAAATACTTACTGCTTTAAGGCCTATAAATATTTATTTGAGAAAAGAATTTTTATTTATGGAAGTGTTAATATTTACAGTGAAAAATAAGTATCAGTCCCCTTGTTCTTTCCTTTACACATAAATTTTAAAGTGACCTCTTATAAAAAATGAATTTCTAGTCTTAAGAGAAACCTTAGGTAATGACTAGTTTAATTTTATACCTCTACATAAATTTTCTATAGTATTTCTGGAATGACTGTTGAGCCTGTGTTTCAGTACCTCTAGTTACTGCAGGAGGAACTTTTTAAAAATTTAGTCTTTTTAAAAATTGTACTTTAGGTTCTGGGGTACATGTGCAGATCATGCAGGATTGTTGCATAGGTACATACATGGCAAAGTGGTTTGCTGCCTCCGCCCCCGTCACCTATATCTGGAATTTCTCCCCATGTTATCCCTCCCCAACCTCCCTACCCACCACTGTCCCTCTCTTACCCCCACCCCGCCACAACAGACCCCAGTGTGTGACGCTCCCCTCCCTGTGTTTGTGTGTTCTCATTGTTCAACACCCACCTGTGAGTGAGATCATGCAATGTTTGATTTTCTGTTCTTGTGTCAGTTTGCTGAGAATGATGGTTTCCAGATTCATCCATGTGCCTACAAAGGACACAAACTTGTCGGTTTTTTTTATGGCTGCGATAGTATACCATGGTGTATATGTGCCACATTTTCCTTGTCCAGTCTATCACTGATGGGCATTTGGGCTGGTTCCAGGTCTTTGCTATTGTAAACAGTGCCACAATAAACATATGTGTGCATGTGTCTTTATAATAGAATGATTTGTAATCCTTTGGGTATATACCCAGTAATGGGATTGCTGGGTCAAATGGAATTTCTATTTCTAGATCCTTGAAGAATTGCCACACTGTCTTCCACAATGGTTGAACTAATTTACACTCCCACCAACAGTGTGAAAGTGTTCCTATTTCTCCACATCCTTTCCAGCATCTGTTGTCTCCAGATTTTTTGATGATCGCCATTCTAACTGGTGTTAGATGGTATCTCAGTGTGGTTTTGATTTGCATTTCTCTAATGACCAGTGATGAGGAGCATTTTTTCATGTTTGTTGCCCTCATATATGTCTTCTTTTGAAAAGTGTCTGTTCATATCCTTCGCCCACTTTTGAATGGGTTTGTTTGTTTTTTTCTTGTAAATCTGTTTTGCTTTTTTGTAGATTCTGGATATTAGCCCTTTGTCAGATGGGTAGATTGCGAAAATTTTTTCCCATTCTGTTGGTTGCCATTTCACTCTTATGATTGTTTCTTTTGCTGTACAGAAGCTCTGGAGTTTAATTAGATCCCATTTGTCTATTTGGCTTTTGTTTTCAGTGCTTTTGGTGTTTTAGTCATGAAGTCTTTGCCTATGCCTAAGTCCTGAATGTTTTTGCCTAGGTTTTCTTCTAGGGTTTTTATGATGTTAGGTCTTATGTTTAAGTCTTTAATCCATATAGAGTTAATTTTAGTGTAAGGTGTCAGGAAGGGGTCCAGTTTCTGCTTTCTACACATGGCTAGCCAGTTTTCCTAGCACCATTTATTAAACAGGGAATCATTTCCCCATTGCTTCTTTTGGTCAGGTTTGTCAAAGATCAGATGGTCGTAGATGTGTGGTGTTGCCTCCGAGACCTCTGTTCTGTTCCATTGGTCTATATCTCTGTTTTGGTACCAGTACCATGCTGTTTTGATTACTGTAGTCTTGTAGTGTAGTTTGAAGTCAGGTAGCATGATGCCTCCAGTTTTGTTCTTTTTGCTTAGGATTGTCTTGGCTATGTGGGCTGTCTTTTGGTTCCATATGAAGTTTAAGGTGGATTTTTCCACTTCTGTAAAAAAGGTCATTGGTAGCTTGATTAATGTTAAATAATCTTTTGCCCCATATTGTTTTAAAATTAATTTCTCTGTAACTTCATGGATCTGTCTTGTTTAGGATGTCCTTCCATACATATGAACCCACGAAATGTTTTCTTCTATAAGTAAACTATCCCTTGTTCCTTCAGCTGTTTCTTATATAACCTGGCTTTAAGTTTATTCACTATCCTTGTTTTTTTTTTGATGACAGTTTAAATTATTAATATTCCTTAATTTCCCCCACACTTCTGTATAATACTCCAGCAAAGACTGTCAGGTACTCCAAATGATAGGACAGTATTCTAGAATGTTTCTTGATCCTGCCTAAGGTTGAATTTTGGGGAACAGCCTTGTCACACTGTTAATTAAAACTCAGGGACAAGTAAATGTCCATCATGTACTTATGTAGAATACATTGGAAATTTACTTTGATAGTTGTTGCATTTTATCTTAATTGAGCAGGACATCTATAGAATATTATAGTAACCATGGATGAGGGATTTTGAACCTTGTTAAATGATATTAATATGTTTGGCAAATGTTTCCATGTTTATTTTTCTGGCTCCACAACTCTAATCGGACTCTCTAAGATTACCGATTCTTAGAAAAGAAATTTAGAATTACTGCTAAAATCTGCATATTGTTCTAGTCTCAAACTCTCTTTTTGGATCCTAATTCTTCAGTAATTTTTAGCTGTGACTCATAGCTTTTAGCATCTGAAGATGAAATATTTCTTATCTCTAATTCACTGAAAAGAATTAAATAGAAGTGTTTTCACTTTTAGCAATTGCAGATTAGATTTTTCAGATAAATGTTCCTCCTGAGAAAAGAAAGTCTGGGAAAAGTATAAAATTAAGATCTGTGAAAGGCAGAAATCCAGAATGTGAGCCTGGTATTTGTATCGGCATTTCCTCTAGAGGTTTCTGCTGATTCTCCAAAATGGCTGAGAGTTGAGTGAAGCAGAGCTTGGCCAATAAGCACATGGTATTATGTTCAACAGTGTTCTACAAGCTGTACACTTAAGATTTGTACACTTTAGTGTATGTTTTACTTCAGTAATATAGAATTAGATTTTATTGGACACAGATGAAGGGATAATCTGAACAGGTTCTAGAAAATATTCAGAATAAAACATGGGGAGACAAAAGGATAGAAAAATACAGATGAGAATTTAAAAGAGATATGGGCTATGGTAGAAAATTCTAGCAGATGTAGTAATATAATTTTAGTCCTGGTAGTAGGGGTGAAAGAGGGTAATATAGAAGCATTATTTGAGGAGATGCTGCTCAGGAATTTTTAGAAAATTATAAGTAATGAAAACTATATCTTCACTCATCCTAATAAGACTTTTAAAATCCAAAAGTAATAGAAAATCATAAAAAAATAAAAGCAGCCAGAACCAAGAAGACTTTTACCTCCAAAGAGGCAGCAGTAAGAAGTACGAGTGAATCTTGAATAGGAACAGTAGAAATTAGAAGATAGCAGATTTACATGGGTACAAAAAAGAAAAAGTAGAATGAATAAGACCTAGTATTTGACAGCACAACAGGGTGACTATAGTTGATAATAATTTCATTGGACATTTAAAAATATCTAAAATAGTATAATTGGATTGTTTGTAATACAAAGGATAAATGCTTGAGGAGACGGATATACTCCATTTTCCCTGATGTGATTATTATGCATTGCATGCCTATATTAAAACATCTCATGCACCCCATAATTATATACAGATATATACTGTGGTGTACTCACAAAAATTAAAAGGAAAAAAATGCTTGAGTATATACAAAAAATTTACAACTCACCCAGAATTTTGTACTTCGTAAAATTTTTTTTCAAACTAAAAGTCATTCAGTTGAGTACTCTTTCACGTAGAGTATGCTTCCTCTCCGCAGTGTCAGAATTGCTAAGAATTTTTTTGTTTTGTGTACAAGCCATACTAAAATTTTGACTGCCATGCAGAAATGGACCATATTTCAAATTGGTATATTCATGTGCAAACTGGCAGGTCTAAATTCAGGGAACTGTTTGCTCTGGTGCTTAAAATGTATCCTGATTAATTAAAAATCACCTATTTTAAGATCAAGCTTTTTTTACTGTAAAAATTTTTTTTAAAGTGCATGGTATATTTTTTAAATCTTTGAAGTTTATTTTGAAAATGTTTGATTTCAGAAATCATAAGACTCTTGTTAATTGATTTTTAAGCACATGGTTTTGTAATCCACGAAAGTACTTAAAAGATACTTTACCTTTGCTGCTGTTTTTAACTGGAGTTGGGAAACTTACTGTTTATTTTTAGGAATCCTATTTTAAAGTATGGCACTAAACAATTAATAGTTATATAATTAATTGCCCAACCAATTAAATGCATTTATTACATAGTTAACACATACTTTTATGAAAGTAAAAACAAGTACCTCATATATCATTTATATATAAGTTCAGCTAAACTATTTCAAAGAAAAGGCAGAGACAGTTTTTCCTTATTGATACTATTACCATTACCTTGCTAATACCACTACAGTTATGTTCTGAACTGATAAGCTGTTAATTCGCAAAACAAAATAGATGAGATGAATTAAAAGAGCACAAAATAACATTTTCTGAGAAGCAAAAACAGAAGAGTGATCATTAGTAATATTGCATTAAAGGGAATTCTAGCAGTTCTTCATTAGGTATTAATAGAAGAAGAAAAAAATGAATCCAAGTTTAATTTCAGAATTGCAAGAGGTAAATGTGTAGTAAATTTAGGTGAAATCTGAATGCATAAAACATTTATTATGTCTTTTGGGATTTAAAATATGTAGAGAGTTAAAAATATGACAAAAATGAGACAGGAAGTAAATGAAGTTAAAGTCCAGAATCTTTCCTTGTCAAATAATAATGATAAATTTATTCAACTGGAAACAAACATGCTGTAATATCTATAATAAAAATTTGGAATAGAAAAAATAACTAATAGAGAATAAAACGTAATAGGAATTGATGACTCTGAAAAAGTCATGCAAAAAAGAATTAACATAATAGGCATGAGGCTGCTATCTTAGAAAGTCCTTCTTGTAAGTTTGGTCCTTGGCTGGTGTCTGGAAACTAAGTTTTTGAGAAGGCCAAGATGGGTGGATAACCAGAGGTCAGGAGTTTGAGACCATCCTAGCCAACAGGGTATAACTCTGTCTGTATTCAAAATACAAAAAATTAACTGGACGTGGTGGCACATACCTGTAGTCCCAGCTGCTCAGGAGGCTGAGGCAGTAGAAACACATGAACCTGGGTGGTGGAGGTTGCAGTGAGCCAAGATCACGCTATTGCACTCCAGCCTAAGTAACAGAGTGAGACTCTGTCTCCAAAAAATAAAATAAAATAATCTACAAGTAAGTAAGAATTAATAAAGCATTCTACTAAGACAGCATATGCACTCATATGTTAATTGCTGTGCTATTCTTAATAGCAAAGACATGGAATCAACTCAGGTGCCCATCAGTGGGAGATTGGATAAAGAAAATATGGTACATATTACCATGGAATACTCTACAGCCATAAAAAGAATGAAATTATATCTTTTGCAGAAACATGGATGGAGCAGGAGGATGTTATCCTAAACAAATTAACGCAGTAAACAAAACTAAATACTGCATATTCTCATTTATAGGTAGGGGCTAAACATTGAGCACACAGACATACGTGGGAACAACAGATACTGTGGACTATCAGAGGGTAGAGGAGGAGTGGGTTAAAAAACAATCTATTTGGTTCTGTGCTCACTACCTGGTGACTCCAAACATCAGTATTATACAATATTCCCATGTAACAAGTCTGCACAGGTACCTCCAATATCTAACAGTTGAAATAAATAATGAAATTAAAATAAAAACCACTTTAGAAGACAGTTTGGCAGCTTCTTAAAAAGCTGAACATGCTTCTACTGTATGACCTAATCTTTCCACTCCGAGGTATTTATCCAAAAGCATATGACCACAAACAGCTGGTACTCAAATTTCTATGGCAGCTTTATTTGCAATGTCCACATTTGAAACAACTCAAATGTCCATCAACATGTGAATAGATAAGCAATCTGAGTGGCTATCTATAATCTAAAATAATATCCTGCAATAAAAAGGAGTAAGCAATTAATATATGCAATAAATGGATGTATTTCAAAATATTCTGAGTGAAAGAAGCCAGAGAAAAGCAGTACCTGCTATATGATTCCATTTATATGAATTCTAGGAAATTCATACTGCCTAAAGTGACAAAAAATTAGTTTGCGTCAGGATAAGTGCATACATAAAGGGGTGGAAGAGAGGTACCACAGGTTTATAAGGAAACGATTGGGATGTGTTCGTGATCTCGATTGCGGTGATAGTTTCACAGGTGCACACATATGTCAAAACTTACCAAACTGTATCCTTTAAACATGTTAAGTTTATTGAATATTGTACATCAATAAAACTGAAAACTAAAAAATAGTAAATTCAGTGATATTGGATATAAAGTTAGTATGTAAACATTAATTGTATTTCTGTAAATGATCAACAATTAGAAAATGAGATTTGAAAAATAATCTTTACAAGAACATAACAAATACCTAATGAAAAGTATAAAACTACTTTATCAAAATAAAACACAGATATAAACATTATTGATAGACTTTTTAAAAACCTAAATAATTAGAAGGATATACTATGTTTATTGAAGACTCAGTAAAGTTATTAGTACACTCCAAATTGATTTATGAATTCAGTACAACATAGCCAGTTTTGTTTATCTTGAAGTCTGACAAGCTAATTCTAAAATATATATGGAAATGAGAGTACCAAGAATGGCTAAGACAGTGTTTAAAAGATGACCGAAACTGGAGACTTATCCAGAATATGAAGGTATTATAATTTACAGTAGTTGAGATAGTATGGTATTGACATAGGATAAGCAAATAGATGAAATAGAACAGAGCAGCAATCCTTTTCAGCCAGAAAATGTAAGCCCTCATGCTCTAAAGGCATTCATTAAATGTAATGAATTATCTTTCCTATGAGTATCAAATAATACCCCCTGTATCTTCTCTGTGTGAAAACTAAAAATACAGTCATTCAGTTTTCTGTGAGGTTTTAATTCTCTTATGGTCCTAAAATTTAATTTTTTTTTTTAACAGCATTGAGCTCAGAGAATTGGAGAAGAAATTAAAAGCAGCTTATATGAATAAAGAAAGGGCAGCTCAGATTGCTGAAAAGGATGCCATTAAATATGAACAAATGGTAATAATGTTTCTGGTCATTATGTTTTTAGCTTCATTAAAAAATGAAAATTAGACTTGTTTCTTTAAAAATTGTTTATATTCTACAAATAATTTACACTGCTAGATTTCTTAAATGCTTGTAAATTTTCAGATCCTTAAGATGTAGGAAATCCTGGGTGATTTCATTTTTATTATTAGAGCCTTTAAGAAGCACACGTTGCTGCTTAGAATGACCAGCTATATTCAGTAACTCCCAGCATTCTTTATGGTCTCTAACTGATTATTCATTGACAAACTAGTACCGTACAAATTGTTAAATGTTACTAAATTTTTAATTTTTTAAATGTTTTTAAGAGTAAATGACTTGATAATTTTATGTAGGAAGCTTTCTTGTTTTCTGATAATTTTATGTAGGAAACTTTCCTGTTTTATAAAAGCCATTTCTTTTTCTCATGTTTCTCTCTGCTTTTATCCCCCTTGCTAACTCCTGACATGCTACCAAGTTGAGGATTAGAGTTACTCTTGGGCCAAGGAGTCTCGGGCATACTTACTAGGAGTGTTATGCTGTATAAATATAAAATAGGGTTTATTGAATTAACAGTTAATTAAAAGCCAGGTGCATATCATCCCTTGAGCTCTCATTATCACACAGAAGGGCCCGACAATTATATATGAATGTATATATACACATATCTATTGTTTATGTCAACATAAACATATGTACACATACTTACACATCCACACTTAGAGGGGTGATACCAAAATGCTTAACCAGGGCAGTGCAATATGGGTATCAATTAAGAATAGTTGCCATAAATGACACATATATATGTGTGTGTTATGTGTGTACATTTGTGTTAATATAGAAAATGTCTAGCGGGTACGCAACATGCAGTTAACAGGAATACCTTTAGCTGTGGCAGGTGATAAGAGAAGGTGCAGAGACTTCATTTTCTAAGCCACATAGTTCTGTCCCTTGAAAAATAAAGTGGCACAAACAATATCCTATTTGTCCAGTGGTTTGCAGTTTTAATGATCCTCGTAGTTCAGATTATTCAAGGTAGTTGTAGACATTTAAATCTGACTCCTAAGAGAATTGCTGCTATTTTCTAAATAAAAATTGATCCACAAAATGAAAGCTGAATACTCCTAGGACTGGACTAGGTGTCGGGATATGTAAGTACTGTTTTTGGCTTTTTCTCTGAGCCTTAGTTTTCTTATCTGTAAAAGGAGAACATTGTTTTTTATTGGTGTGTGGTAATCTACACAGAAATGTTATTGTCATCTCATCCCATTTTTAAATAAAGAATTTAGTACAGCATTTACAAAGAAGATAATTAGAAAAATTTTTGGTTAATTCATATTATCAGAGTATTTGTTAAAGGCTTCAGTGACGTCAGGAATGACATTTAGTATTCATATTTTAATCTGTTTACTCCTTATGTTTGATTCCATCATTTGGGATGTGATCATAAAGGTAAAGGATAGTTTAAAAAAGTGCCTCAATATATTTCATTTAAAACTTATTTTATTAAATCTTTTGAAAAATACTCAAAAGAATTAAGGGGTTTAACCCATCCAAGAAGGAAGATTGTCTTTTGACAACGGGAATGGTCTTGAGTGAATTAAAAGCTGCAGAAAATAGGCACAGTAGCATCTGTGATTCTTTTCCGTTAAATGGCCTTAAATAAATCAGAAAGGGGAAACTTCAAGGGCCAATGGCAGGAAAGAAAGTTTAAGATAGAAGAAACTTGAGTTGCTCAAAGCCACTTAATAGCAGACCTGTAAGAAAAAGTTAGTACCATCTTTAAATAGCAGCTGATAAACAGTGAAGCTAAAAATGGTGAAAATTGTCTAGATGAATTTACAAATAAAATAATGAGATAATGACTGCTTTAGCAGGTTTGACTCATTATTCACACTCTTCAGGTAATAATAACTTACTTTTGTTTTTTACCTAGACAGATGAAAACATTTATGTATCAGACTTTATAATATTCAATAATGTTGGTGTAAAATATACCAATTTTTACACCAAATCTGAATATTGTGTTCTGATTTGAAAATGGAAAAATGAATTTTGTTTTAATAACAGAAACGTGATGCCAAAATAGCCAAAACCATGATGGAAGAACACGAGAGAATAATAAAGGAAGAGAATGCTGCAGAAGACAAACGAACCAAAGTGAAAGCACAATACTATCTTGACTTAGAGAAACAACTTGAAGAACAAGAAAAAAAAAAAGCAGGAAGCTTACGAGCAGTTGCTGAAAGAGAAACTCATGATTGATGAAATTGTTAGGAAGATCTATGAAGAAGATCAATTGTAAGTTCATCATAACTTTCTCACATACTTAAATGTTTACTTTAGATTTAGCATAGGTTTGTTGCGAGGAGCTAAAGCACCTAGAACAGTGCCTAATACATAGTAAGTTCTCAGTAAATATTAGCTATGATCACATAAATTGGAACCAACTCCTTGTCATCTCTGTTAGTATAATTAATAAATGAATTATCTGATGATTAATAAATGCTTAAGTCACTAAATGACCTAAACCTTTGTTTTTCTTATATATGCTTATATCATTTGTCAGAGGACATGTATTCTGATGAATTTTTTTGCGGACAACTTAAGTGTAGACTGCTGCAAAGCTCATGTTAACAGATTGTAGCCTTTATGAAATAAGATGCATAAAACTTCATTAATAGGTTAGAGGAGATGCATCATAGTATTTTACCCAAAGAAAAATTCATGTATTTAGCACATAGTAGGCGTTCAAAATGTTTGTTGTATGCACAAATGAAAAAACTATAGCATTTTTCTGTACACTATTAACAAAATGAAATTACTTTTTTATAGTTTATTGTTTATGTTACTACAAATCTGTGCTTGTTATTGCTTTTTAGGGAAAAACAACATAAGTTAGAAAAAACAAAAGCATTGCGAAGGTATATAGAAGAGTTTCAGAAAGAGCAGGCTCTCTGGAGAAAAAAGAAACGTGAGGAGATGGAAGAAGAAAACAGAAAAATCATAGAGTTTGCTAACATGCAGCAGCAAAGAGAAGAAGATCGGATGGCAAAAGTTCAAGAAAATGAGGAGAAAAGGCTACAGCGTCAGAATGCGGTATTAAAATAATCACTTCTTTAACACTAGTAAAATTCTGAAATATTAGTTATAGAATTTGGGTCCTATGAACATTTATGTTTTTTTAAAAATTTAATAGTTGACACAGAAATTGGAAGAAATGCTGCGGCAACGTGAGGATCTGGAACAAGTGAGACAAGAATTATACCAGGAAGAACAAGCTGAAATATATAAGAGGAAGCTAAAAGTAAGTTTCAGAAATGGAAAGAATGATTAACATAAAGAAGAATATAATTTTGAGATGAAACAGAAGAGAGACAGTACATTTAAATCCAATGATACTGGTAATTACACTATATGTCAATGGTATAGTACATTTATAAGACAAATTTTCAAGCTGGCTGAAAAGATAAACTCAGGCATCAATTTGTAAACTGTATCATAAAAAGCATCATGCACCTATGTAGTCTGTAATCACAATTTAAATATGAAGACATATAGTTTAAAAGCAAAAGGATGGTGAAAGGATATATAACATGCAGACACTATCCAAAAGCAAGTGGGAGTATGATATGTTAATATGGGACAAAGTCAAGTTTAGGACAAGCGATTCATGATGATAATACAGTAAATTCATCTAGAAGATGTAATAGTACTAAAGGTGTGTGAACCTAAATAATAAAGCTTCACAATACATGAAGCAAAACTGACAAAAACTGAAAGGAGAAATAGGCAAATCCACAATCAGAGTTCAAGGTTTTTTGTTTTTTTTTTTCTTTCCAACTTTTACTTTAGGTTCAGCAGGTACATGTGCTGGTTTGTTAGAGGGGTAAATTAGTGTGTCATGGGGTATTTTGTTACCCAGGTAATCAGCATAGTACTCGATAGGTAGTTTATTGATCCTCTCCCTTCCCCCATCTCCACCCTCAAGTAGGCCCCAGTGTATGTTTTCCTTCTTTGTGTCCATTTGTACTCAATATTTAGCTCTTATAGGTGAAGACATGTGGTATTTGGTTTTCTATCCCTGCATTAATTAGCATAGGCTAATGACCTCCAGCTCCATTCAAGTCGATGCAAAGGGTGTGATTTTGTTCTTTTTTATGACTGTGTAGTGTTCTGCGGTGTGCATGTACCACATTTCTTTATCCAGTCCACCATTGGTGGGCATCTAGGTGGATTCCGTATCTTTGCTATTGTGAATAGTGCTGCTATAAACATACACAAGCATGTGTCTTTATGGTAGAATAATTTATATTCCTTTGGGTATATACCCAGCAATGGGATTGCTGTGTCAAATGGTAATGCTGTTTTCATTCTTTGAGGAATCACCACACTGCTTTCCGCAATGTTTGAACTAGTTTATACTCCCACCAACAGTATATAAGCATTCCTTTTTCTCCACAACCTTGCCAGCATCCATTATTTTTTGACGTTTTAATAGTAGCCATTCTGACTGATGTGAGACAGTATCTCATTGTGGTTTTGATTTGCATTTCTCTAATGATTAGTGTCTTTGAGCATTTTTTCATATGCTTGTTGACTACATATATGTTGTCTTTGAGAGCTGTCGATTCATGTCCTTAGCCTATTTTTAATAGGGTTATTTTTTGTTTGTTAATTTGTTTACATTCCGTAGAGATTCTGGATATTAGACCTTTGTCAGATGCATAGTTTGCAAATATTTTTTCCCATTCTGTAGGCTGTCTGTTGATAATTGTGTTTGCTGTGAAAAAACTCTTTAATTAGGTCTCACTTAAGTCTGTTGATAATTGCGTTTGCTGTGAAAAACTCTTTAGTTTAATTAGGTCCTACTTGTCAATTTTTGTTTCTGTTACAATTGCTTTTGGAGTCTTCATCATGAAATCTTTGCCAGATCCTATGTCCAGAATGGTATTTCGATGCACAGTTCTCATTAATCTATAGATGAAGTAGTCAGAACCACAGGATATAGTGTTGAAAGCAGTATCTTGACCTGGCATTTAGAGAATACTCCACCCAACAACAGCAGAATACAAATTCCATTCAAACATGGAACATTCACCAAAATAGATAATCTTATAGTACATAAATGAAGTCTCAATAAGTTTTCAAGGTTTTAATTAATACCAGATACGTTTTCTGACTACAGTGGAATTAAAAATCAGTAATGGAAATTTACCTGCAGAATCCTTAAATATATTATAATTAAACAATATATTTCTAAATAAGCAATGAGAAAAGGGGAATAAATTATAATAGGAACTAGAAAAATATTTCACACTAAATGATTTTAAAAAAAGCATACCAAAATATGTGACGTGCAGTTAATGCAGAGCTTAGAGGAAAGTTTGTATCTTTAAATGCATATATTAGAAAAAAGAATGGTTAAAAATTAATGACCCTATGTCTGCCCAAATACTTACAGAAATGTTTATGCAGCATTATTCATAATAGTCAAAAAGTAGAACTAACCTAAAAGTAGAAATAACCCAAATGTCTGATGAATGGATAAAAAAATATATCCATGTAATAGAATGTTATTCAGCTATAAAAAGAATGACAGACTGATTATGCTAAAACATGGATGAACCTTTAATTATATATTAATTAAAAAGTAAGGGCCTCAAGAATGTTATATAAATGATATCAAACAATATGTAACTTTTTGGAGTTGGCTTTTTTTATTCAGCATAATTTCCTGGAAATTCATCCAAGTTGTTGCTTGTATTGATAATTTGTTCCTTTTTATTGCTGAGTAACATTCCATGGGTATGTATGTACCTATTTATTTTACCATTCGCCCAGTAAAGGTCATTTGGAATGTTTCCAATATTTGGCTCTGATGAGTAAATCTGCTGTGAGCATTCAGGTATACATTTTTGTGTAAACATCAATTTTCATTTCTCTGCGATAAATGCTCAAGAGTACATTAGCTTAGTTTTGTGTAAATTACATGTTAGCTGTGTAACAGACTGCCAAAGAGATTTCTAGAACAGCTGTAGCATTTAATATTCCCATCAGAAATGTATGAGTTATGCCTTCTCTCTGCATTCTCACCAGCATTTGGTGTTGCCACCATTTTTTAATTTTTTTCTCCTCTGTCCTCAGAAACTCAAGTTTTTTTAAAGCCACTTTTAAATATCCATGTAGTGATATCTTGTAGTTTTATTTTGCATTTTCCATTTTTATTTTGTATCTTCCTGATGACTAATGATTCTGAACATCTTTTCATATGTTTATTTGCCATCCTCTTCAATGTAAGATCCTCTTTGATGAAATAGTTCTTCATTCTTTTGCTTTGATTCTCTAATTGGGTTGTTTGTTCATTCATTGTTGGATTTTGAGAGTTCTTCATATATTCTAGATAACTAGTCCTTTGTCAGGTGGGTGGTTTTCAAATATTTTCTCCTAGTCTGTAACTTTGTCTCATACCTTTAGCATGGTTTTTCTTAGAGTAAGTGTTTTCCATTTCTTTGAAATGCAGTTTATCAATTTTTCCTTTTATAGATAATGATTTGGTGTCAACTCTAGAAACTCTTTGCCTAGTTCCTTAAGAATTTCTCCTTTTTTTTCTGTAAGTTTTTTTTTTTCTTGCTTTTCCATTTTCCATTTCAGTTTGTGATATGTTTTAATTTTTGGTACAAAAAAGATGAGACTTAAGTCAAATACAGATTTTGCCATTGGATGTCCAGTTGTTCCACACCATCAGTTGAAATGGTTGTTTCTCCAACACTGAATTGCTTTTGCATCCTTCTTAAAATACAGTTGGGGATATTTGTGTAAGTCTATTCCTGGGGTCTCTGTTTTTTTTCTGTTGGTGTATGTATCCATCCTTCCACCAATACTACACGGTTTTGAATACTGCAGCTATAGAGTAAGTCTTAAAACACTTTTTTTTTTTTTTTTTTTAGCTATTCTAGTTCTTTTGCCTTTCTGTATGAATTTTAGAATACTCGTGTCTCTATAAATAATTTTGCTGGGAATTTGATAGGAATTGCGTTAAATTTGAGCATCAGTTTGTGGAGAATTGATAAATGCACTAGAGATTAAGTTCATGAAAACAATTTGGCTGTCCCTTTATTTAGATCTTTGAGTTTTTTCATCAGGATTCTATAGTTTTCAGCATACGAATCCTCTGTGTGTTTTGTTACGTCTAAGTATTTCATTTTTTGAGCGATTGTAAATTGTAAATGGAATGTTAGGTTTAATTTTGGTGTCCACATACTCATTGCTAGTGAATTGGTATTTTTATGTTCACCTTGAATCTCACAACCTTGCTGAAATCACTTGTTAGCTGTAGAAATTTTTTTCTCTACATAGTCAGGCATGTCTTCTGCCCATAGGTAGAGGCTGTTTCTTACTTTCTGATCTGTATATACTTTTTATTTCCTTTTCTTGCTTTACATGCTAGCTAAAATTTCCAGCACCACTGGCTAGTGCTATGTTGAATAAGAGTGATGAGGGTAGTCATCACCTTTCCTTCTTGATGATCTTAAGGGGAAGCATTCAGTTTTTCACCATTAACTATAATGTTAATTACAGGTTTTTTTGTAGGTGTTCTTTATCAAGTTGAGGAAGTCTTCTTCTTTACCTGTTTCTCTGAGGGCTTCTTATCATGAAGGAGTGTTAAATTTTGTTAAATGCTTTTTTCTATTGATATGATTATGTCCTTTTTCTTCTTTAACCTAGTATATTACACTGATTTTCTTTTAGTATTGAACCAGCCTTGCATCCCTATAATAAACTCTACTTGGTCATGGTTTATAATTCTTTTAATGTGTGATCTATTTTCTAATACTGTGTTAAGGATTTGTGCATCCATGTATGCGAGGAATATTGTTCTATATTTTTTTTTATGTTGGTAGTGGGGTAATTCTATCTTCATGAAATGAATGGGGAAATGTTTCCTCCTCTTCAGTTTTCTGTAAGAGATTATGTAGAATTGGTGTTAATCCTTTAAACGTTTGATGGAATTTTCCAGTGAAACCATCCTGACTTGGAGTTTTATTTTCAGGGAATTTTAAGTTATTAATTCACTCTCTTTAATAGTGATAGGACTATTCAAATTACCTTATTTCATATTAGGTGAGTTTTGGTAGCTTTTGTTTCTCAAGGGAGTGATCCATTTCATCTAAGTTGCCACATTTATGTATGTATAAAAATTTGTAGTATTCCTCTGTTATCCTTTTGATGTCTCTAGGGTCTGTAGTGATGTCCTGTGTTTTATTCCTGATATTGGTAGTTTGTTTATTCATTCATTTTTTTTTTCTTGGCCAGCCTTGTTAAAGGTTTGTCCATTTCACTGATTTTTTTTTTTTTTTTAAAGAGCCAGTCTTTTGTTTCACTGATAATTGTCTGTTTTCTATTTTTAATTCCATTGAGTTCTACATTTTTTTGGATTTTCTTCTGTTTATTTTGGGTTTACTTTGCAGTTCTTTTTATAGGTTTCGAAGTGGAAGCTTAGATTATTGATTTCAGACTTTCCCCACATACATGCACTTAGTGCCATATATGCATTTTTCCTAAATGTATGCATTTAGTGCTTTAAATGTCTTTCAGTATTGCTTAAGCAGCATCTTACAAATTTTGCTCCCTCATTTTTATTAACTACAATGTATTCATTTTCCTTGGCATTCCCTCTTTGATTTAGAGGTGAGTGACCATTGTAAAATTATCTTTTTTGGTATGTATGAAATTTTTCATTATAAAATGTTCAGAAAATAAAAGCTTACATAGAGGAAAGGACTTAACTGATCCAAGTAAATTTGAATTTCCCTAAAGAAGTACTGATTGTCATTGGTAGATAATTGTTTTTTAAATTTTAGAGAATTTTGGAGAATGAAGGGATTATTAGAAGACTGGAGACAGGTAAATGCGGGTTTGATTTTGAGGAGGAAGTTGGAAACTGAAAAATACTTATCTGTGGTTTGGACAGCTGTTTTAAGCAAGACTCTAGAATGACTGATATTTACCATAGACCACAGATTAATAAACTTAGGTGTCCAAAAATTTTTTTGATCAGCTCTTTTCAAAGCAGTTACGGGTTAATTCTGAGAAACAAGATGGTAAACATGAATTGAAATTTGTTCATGAGTAACAGAAAATCCAAAGGTAAACATGTTCTTTATCCAGCTACTTTTAAAGGGATGGGGGAAGTGTGGTATCGTGAAAAACCTTTTTCAGTTTGCATTATTTCATATTATAATACTAAATTTAACCAAACTCTATCACTCTTTCTTTATAAATCTGGTATAAGGAAGTGGTTCCTAAATTAACTTTTAGCTGTATTGTTGTTTAGGAAGAAGCAGAAGAGAAACTGAGAAAGCAAAAAGAGATGAAGCAAGATTTTGAAGAACAAATAGCCTTGAAGGAATTAGTGCTACAGGCTGCAAAAGAGGAAGAGGAGAACTTTAGAAAAACCATGCTAGCTAAATTTGCTGAGGATGATCGAATAGAATTAATGAATGCTCAGAAACAAAGAATGAAGCAGCTGGAACACAGGAGGGCTGTGGAAAAACTTATTGAAGAGCGTCGCAAACAATTCCTTGCAGACAAAGTAAGAAAAAGTTGTGGGGTTTTTTGGGTCATTATCATTAAACAGCAATTAGCTCATCTATCATCCACTAAATATTTACTGAGAAGCTTTATATGCCAGACAATGTTAGATAAATGTGTACTAGTATACTAGAAAATTCTGAGCATTTATGCTTCTAAAAAATATTTATTGATGTTTTCTATGTACCAAACACTGGTTAAATACTGAGAACATAAAAGGTAAATAAAACTTCAGTCCATGCTATCTATGAATTTATGATCTTGGTTAAGAAAAATATATAAAAAGTAATTATAAATATGTCATATACATGATAGGTTATAGAGCTGTGGTCCCCTTTAAAAGGAATGGATGAATTAAAATAGAATGAGGTTTGAATGCAAGTACAGTTTCAAATTAACGGTGGCTTAGTAGATAGTTCACTGTTCTGTCACACAGCTCAAGTCATTTTTTCCATATGGCCCAGAATTTTGATGTAATTATTTAAGAGTAGACAAGAGCTCTTTCCTAAGAAATACTAATGGAACTCTCATGCCTCATATCATCTTTAAAAGATATATACCTAGATATGAAAATATTTATCCTTCAGATAACTCTGATCTTCTTTTTTCACTATTTTGTATTTGTTTGTTTTACACTGTAAACTCTTCAGCATCTGGCATATGGTAAGTATTCAGCAAATATTTACTGTATTAGGCAGTCACTCCGTTGAATATTTTTTCCCTTGGTAATGAAGATACTTGCCTGAAAGTATTTGTTTGCCCATTTTAAAGGAATAATGATAGTAAAAAGATATACAGATAAGTATACAGACATAAAATATATATTTAAAAATATATATTATCTAGAATCTTTTTAACAGTGTCATAAATATTTCATCAGTTTTATCAAATTCATTGCATGAGTAGTTTATTTGAAAACTTCATAAGAGATTAATGTAGTTTGTGATGACAAAATTTGATTTGCATTTCCAGCAACATGAACTGGAAGAGTGGCAGTTGCAGCAAAGGCGGCAAGGATTTATTAATGCAATTATTGAAGAAGAAAGACTGAAACTTCTCAAAGAGCATGCTACAAACTTACTAGGCTATCTCCCTAAAGTAAGTGAGATTTATCTCAAGTTGTAATCTTCATGACCTCTAATAGTGAAAAAAACTATGGTATTTGGATTTCAGAGGGCCTAGGTTTTGCTCACTTCTTGCTCTGTTACGAAGCAGCAGTGGGATCCTGGCCAGGCACTGACCCTCTCTGGGCCCATTTCACTCTGTCTAAAATGAGCGAGTTGGTCTTGGCACATTATGAGCTTTTTAAATTGAATTTGTATTTTATTAGTTATTTTATCACCCAGGCTGGCATACAGTGGCATGATCTCGGCTCACTGCAACCTCTGCCTCCTGGATTCAGGTGATTCTCCTGCTTCCTGGGTTCAGACCATTCTCCTGCTTAAGCCTCCCGAGTAGCTGGGATCACAGGCGTTTGCCACCAAACCCAGCTAATTTTATATTTTTAGTAGAGACAGGGTTTCACCATGTTGGCCAGGTTGGTCTCAAGCTCCTGACCTCAGGTGATCCACCTTCCGTGGCCTCCCGAAGTGCTGGGATTACAGGCCTGAGCCACCATGCTTGGCCTGAATTTGTATTTTAGAGGCCCTTTTCTTTTCTTTTAGTGTAGGAAATCTAAAGCTACTCTAGAACAACTGTAATACTTACATGCCAAAGATTAGAATATATTTGAAAACATCGTAATTGGTAACACAAGTACAGGCATGTGCTTGAACTGAGTTTGAGACATATCTGCTTTATAGTAGGAAGTATAACTAGTTAAACTTGATTTTTTAAATTCTAGAAGATAGTGAATTTTAATGTATACCCGACACACGTCGTGACTGCAAATAAAATAATAACTGGCTGGGCACAGTGATTCATGCCTATAATCCCAGCACTTTGGGAGGCTGAGGCAGGAGGATCGCTTGAGCCCAGGAGTTGAAGACCACCATGGGCAACATAGGGAGATTGCATCGCTACAAAAAAAATAAAATGTAGTAATGCACGCCTGTATTCCCAGCTACACTGGAGGTTGAGGTGGGAGGATTGCTTGATCTGGAAACCTAAGGCTGCAGTGACCCATGATCTTGCCATTGCGCTCCAGCCTGGGCAACAGAGTGAGACCCTGTCTCAAAAAAATGTTTGATGATAGGCTACATAAACATCTAGACTCATATAGGATCACCATCTTTCAGCTATAGAAATGCCATTTCATATTTTATTCAGTAAAATCAAGTGCATATTTTATATTCAGTCTCGTGCTAAGGAAGGAAAAAGATAAATATATAGGTAATTATTGTCTGGTCACAGGACTTGATAGTCTAAATTGGTTAGACAGGATTAAGGAATACAAAATTATGTGTTAATGATAAAATCCATATGTAATTACTAAATTTCATAAATTATAAATTCTAGGAATGTCTTTGGGATTTGGTATTTTCATAGGTGAAATAATTGTGGAGGCAGGAGGAGGGATTAATAAACCTGATATCCAAAAATGGCCATTATCCTTTAGGTCCTAATGGCCCCAAATGTTCTCAGTTAGTTATCCTTAAAATTCTTTAGATTGCAAGATAAGTAAATAATTTTGTTTTAAAGAGCCTTTTGTTGTATACTGTAGAAGAAAAGAAAAATGTAAGAAAGAGTGAAGAATTCCAAACGGTTTGCTTAAATGGCTTAACTCTAAACCTTGATTCTTTTCTGCAAGATTGATTGTTTAGCCATAGAACTGAGGCATAAAGAACTGATCCCATGTATAAGTCTATCGATGCTCTCTTATATTATAGAGCTATTTTAAGCCACGGGTAGGTTACAGTATAGATTAAGTTCCTTCCTGTCTAGGTAATCCAAGCAGAAGTACTTAGGCAAGCCAAGCGCAGTAGAACTTGTAGAAGAGCCCAGCTTCCTATGACAATTTCCTACAGGAGAACTGATAAATCAGAAAATTGGGCCAGTCTAAGAATATTCAATATATATGTCAAGTCACTTTTTGGAAAGGATTGATTTTTTATTTAAAAGTTTCATTAATCTGTTGAATAGATTCCATTACCTTGGAGATAACTAACTTTACTAACAACATCATGTCTTTGTCAGTCTTAAAAACATTTAGTGAAATATTCTGGTACAAAAGTAACCCACAAAATATTTTTCTTGTAGGGAGTATTTAAAAAAGAGGATGATATTGATCTGCTTGGTGAAGAGTTTAGGAAAGCGTATCAGCAAAGAAGTGAAATTTGTGAAGAGAAATGATATCATCAAAATTGGGTAAATTTTGTATGTTACCACTAGATGTCAGCATAACTTTTGTTTTATAGTTCAGTGGCAGTAGGTATCCATTGTCTATTATTTGTGAAGAGAAATGATATCATCAAAATTGGGTAAATTTTGTATGTTACCACTAGATGTCAGCATAACTTTTGTTTTATAGTTCAGTGGCAGTAGGTATCCATTGTCTATTTGGATTTTGTAAATCATCACTGAATTTCATAACTTGTAAAGAATTATCAGATAAAAATCAAACTGTTATTTTTGTATTGATAATTTGAAATTACAGCACTCCAGAGGATTGTTTGCATCCCCATCCTTATTTACCTATACTAACATAAAATTCTCTACACAGTGAACTGCCTTCTGTGTTTTGGAACTTTACTTGATTTGGCCAGGGAAATAAATGTTTGGAATTTTGTTATAAAGCATCTTTTTCGTTCTACTGTAAGGGAAGAGAACTGTAAATGAAAAGAATGAAGAATTTTATTATCTAATTGTCACATTAAGTAAGAACTTAGAAAACAAACTCAAAAGAACATAAAAGGTCATAAGATAGCGAGTCAGAAGTTAAATTTTTGTTGCTTTGTTTTAAAAATTTTTTCTTTTTCTAATAACTACATATCAGAATAATGCATCAGTTTTGTATCTCTCAAATCTAAACAGGGAATTCTTTGAAATTATTTCAATTTCATAATCCCAGAACTTCATTTCTTAAGAATAAAAATAATTCAAACCATTACAGTAAGTAAAATGGGTATCCGTCACATACTGTCATAGAGACTCACTGAAGTAGATCACTTATTTATTTCCCCATTCCATTCAAGTGCTTTCATAAATTCCTCCTCAGTGAAAGACAGCATCTTGGCAGCTTCAAAATGCATCTGATAAAAAAAAAAAAAATCAGTATTGTCTGATTTAAAAGAGTAGGCCACCAAACAACAGGAAATTTGTAAAAATGTGTGAGTAATATATTGTCAGCATGTAATTTCTGTTGTAGGAACATACACTCTTAATTCCAATAAGCATGATACTTAAAATGGTAATTACATTCAAGGACCAACCTATAAAAGACTTTGTTCCCAACAGTAGTATTGAACCAACTTACTTTTAGGGTAATTCAGTGATACTGTAATATCTGACCTTTGCAAAGAAGGAAAGTGTCAGAACTATGAACTTTTAGAGAAAGCAGCAATAGTGGTTTGGAAGCAGTCAGTCCCCTAAGATAATAGTCATTCTTTAGTTTGGTACCTTCTGTAGTAGAGAAGTACCTATACTGTATTTTCCAGTCCCATTTTCTACAATAATTTACTTACATAAAAATATCCACTAGCTTAGATGACACATCATACATACGAAATCTAACATATATAGTGAGATTTATGTATATATAATGCATTTTTGTATGAAGTTTGGTGCCTAAAGATGTCAAAAATTAAACATACCTAAAGTGAAAAATGCTAAATTTTTTAGTAAGAAAGGTACAAATAGTATGATTTAACTTTAATGACAGACTCACCTTCTGCCTTTTTAAGACATCAATTAATTTTAACTGTTTCTTGAACCCTATTATTAATTCTCCTTTTTGTTTTTCTAGCTTCTTGTTTTCTGATTTTAACACTTCAATTTTTTTGTGGTCTTCATTTGTTATGTCCTACAAAAAGAAAAAAAAGTGCCATATATTCTTTTTTAATATATAGCCTTTCAATGGAAAGAATTATAGACTATCATCACAACAGTAATAAAAAGTACTTTTTAAAACTGAAATACAAATTTTTTTGTAGATAAAATTGCTTTCCATTACCAACTTACTGGAATTTAATAGCTTTTAGTCATGCTCAGGTCTTTCACATTTTAAAAAAACGTTTTAAAAATAATTCCAATTCCAGTAACGGCAAAGTAGCTTGTATTGAACCAACATAAACTCTGGAATTATGAATTTTAAAAGCATAGATGAGTAATCATTAATAAGTAGAAACTGGAAGTGATATGACTCTTGAAAGAACAGAAATACTGGTTGAGATCCACAGTCAACTGGCTTCTCCTGAAAGCACTTTCCAGTTTGTGGGTTCACAGAGCTAGAACACAGGCAAAAAGTAGTAGTCTTACTGGACTGAGGAGTCGGAGAGCAGGGCTGGCAGGGTGGTGCAAGTTTTTAAGTAGGAAATTCTAGAACAAGAAAGCCCTCAAAATATGTATATGTATTTCCCTCAAATGCTTGGCAGACATCTAAATACCATTTACAAGAATGAGACTCCTAGGCATCTGTGAAAGGAAATGGTTGTGGTCTTTAGCTAAGCAGAGAATTTACCTGCTTTCCATGACAAGGGGGAGACCAAGTTTGTAATCTTGGTAAAAATGGATTGGATAAGCTCTGTGGCAATTTGGACAATGCAGAAAAAGGATCAGTGAATATTATTTAGGTAAGCAGAAATCATTAAGTATAGGAAGATCTATACTTGAAATGTTAAAGGAAATCTGAATCTCTGTACACACATAAAAAGATGGAAAAGGAGAAAAACCCGCAAGAGTAATGCGATATCTATTTATCAGTGTCTGTGTAGTTTTTCTAAAAAAAATAAAAAATAAAAAATCTTTAAAAGATAACTAAGAGTGATGTCAGCAAGATCATGGATTAGGAAGCTCTGGGCCTTTGCTCCCCCATTAAAAGACTGAATATATGATACATAGACCAAAGTAGCTTTGGGAGAGCTCTAGAAAACCAGTCAGTCAGCAGCAGCAACCAAGAGAATGCCTAACAACCAAGAGAATGCCTAACTAAGAAAAAGCCATACTCAATATGGTAGGAAATGTCATAGTTTTGGCTCACCCCTTCCCCACATCCTCCTTGGCACAGCACAGTCAGGAATAAGCCACCCAGCTACCCAATTCCCAGTTCCTCCCTTGGAATGGAAGGAAAAGAGTAGACGTGCTTGCACCATTCAGACTTTTCTGGCGCCTCCCTGAGGGACTGGTATCTGTCTTGCTTGACTCAGCACTGACGGGAACAGCTGCATCATTTGGATATCCAGTTGGAAGCAGCGGAAATGGATGCCGGGTACCACTGCATGTGAGAGGTGCAGTGAGTCCAGAGAACTGCAGGAACCTGGTGGCAAGAACTTACGGGCAATGGAATACAATATAGCATCTAAAACTGTGGTAAGGAGGAGTGACACTTTTAGGTAATTAGGATATTTAAAAGAAGCCATGTGTATGGAAAACTGGAATTAAAACACAAAGGCCCATGAAAGACACAGCCACAGAAAAGGTTTGAGAGGACCTCAAGACTTTATGCCATGCTGAGTAGTGAAGGTCTTTTCTTGCACGCAGCCAGTCTGCAACACTGGGAGAAGTGGCTGTTTGTTCAAACACCCATTTTTCTACATAAGATCACAAGGCATTCAAAGAAACAGGGAAACATGGACCATATTAAAGGAACAAAATTAATACCCAGAATGTATCCAAAAGAAACAAAGTCTTCTCACTTATTTGACAAGGACTTCAAAACAACTGCTAAAAATATGCTCCATGAGCTGAAGGAGAATACTGACAACTAACTGAAGTCAGGAAACCTATATATGAATAAAACAAGACTATCAACAAAAATTACAAAAAAGAACCAAACAAATTCTAAAGCTGAAAAATACAGTAACTGAATTGAAAAATACACTTGAAGGGTTCAACAGCAGAGTTGAACAGGTATAAGAACGAATGAGGGAACTTTGAGACAGGTCATTTGAAATGAGCAGGTAAGAGGAGCCAAAAGTAAAAGAATGAAGAAAAATGAACAGCAGCTAAGGGACACCATCAAGTGGGCCAATATGTATAACAGTGTAATCTTAGAAGAGAGAAAAAACGGGTACAAAGAACTTATTTGAAGAAGTAATAGGTGAAAAATTCCCAAATTTAAGGAAAGAAATGGATATACAAATACAAAAAGCTCCATGAACTCCAAGTAGGATAAACCCAAAGAGACCCACAGCAAGACACATTTTAATCGGTCAAGCATCAAAGAGAAAAGCTTGATATCAACAAGACAAAATGACTCATCCCATGCAAGGGAGCATCTGTAAGATTATAAGCATATTTTTCAGCAGAAACTTTGCAGGCCAGAAGTCAGTAGGATGATAAATTTAAAGTGCTGAAAGAAAAAAATCATATCAGGAAGAATAATATATCCAGCAAAGTGTCCTTCAAAAATGAAGAAGAAATTAAGACATCCCTACATAAAAGCTGAAGAAATTCATTACCACCATATCTTCCTTACAAAATCCTAAAGAGAATCCTGCAAAAGTTGAAACAAAAGCATACTAGACAGTAACTCAAAGCTATATGCAAATATAAAATTCTCCAGTAAACATAAATATTTGGAAAAATAATTAGACAAATATAAAGGCCTGTATCTTAATTTTCATTGACAACTCACTTTTCATTCTTTTATAGAATTAACAGACAAAAGCATTAAAAATGTTGTAAATCTTTGTTAATGGGTATATAACATAAAGATATAATTTGTGACATCAATACCACAAGGTAGGGAGGGGCCAAAATGAAGTGGTCTTTATGTATGACTGAAGTTATACCATTACATAAAATCAACCAAACACTAAGGAAGGAAGGCAATAAGGGAGGAAATGAGAGGCTAAAAATCCTCCAGACATCCAGAAAACAATCAATACATAGCAACAGGCCTTCCAACAACTTTAAATGGACAAAGCTCCCTAACCAAAATACACTGAATGGAAGAATGGATTTTAAAAAACCGGAATCCAACTATGTGTACTCTGCAAGCAACTAACTTTAGATCTAGAGATATGCACAGGTTAAAAGTAAAAAGATGGAAAAAGATAATCTGTGAAATTTTGTAACCAAAAGAAAACAGCAATGACTATAGTAATATCTGACAAAATAGACTTTAAGTCAAAACTCTTGAAACATACCAAGAAGGACGTTATATAAGAACATACAGGCCAAACAAAAGGGCCAATTTAGTAAGAAAATTGATACAATTATATATGTACCAAACATTAAAGTGCCTAAATATATGAAGCAAGCATTGACAGACTTGGAGAAATAGACCACTCTACAATAAAAGTAGACTTCAGTGCCCCGCTTTCAATAATCGGTAAAACCACCAGGTAGAAGACCAATAAATACATAAGAGACTTGATCAACATTACAGATCAGTTAGATTTAACAGACATAAAGAATACTCCTCTAATGAAAAGGTGTAACAAGGATATAATGGACTCTGGGAACTTGTGAAGGAAGGGTGGGAGGGAGGTGAGCAATAGAAGACTACATATTGGGTTCACCAAAATCTCAGAAATCACCACTAAAGAACTTATTTGTGAAACCACCACCACCTGTTTCCCAAAAACAATTGAAATAATAATAAAGGAAAAATAGAATCATATACCAAAATTTACATATATGTAAATACAGGAAGTAGATTAGTGGTTGCCTAGGGCTAGGGGTAGAATGTGGTGCAGGGTGTTGGGGGAGAATAGAGTGGCTATGAATGGGTACAGAGGTTCTTTTGGGGGTGATAAAATTGCAAAATTGATTATGTGTGATGGTTGTACAACTTTGCGACTACTAAAAACAACTGATTTGTATATTTTAAGTGAGTTGTATGGTACATTAATTATAGTTCAATAAAGATGTTATTTTTAGAATGAAAAAGAATACAGTTTTCTCAAGTGCACATGGAACATTCCCCACATTTTAAAAGACTGAAAGCATAGAAAGTATATTTTCCAATCACAGTTGATTCAAACTGGAAATCAACAGCAGAAGGAAAACTGCAAAACCCACAAATATGTGGGGATTGAACAGCACATTCAAACTACCAAGGGGTCAAAGAAGAAATCACAAAGGAAACTGGAAAATATCATAAGACAAATGAAAACAAAGCTACAATATACCAAAAACTTATAGGACAGAATATAAGCAGTGCTAAGAGGAAAATTTATAGTTGTCAATGCTTACATTAGAAAAGAAGATCTCAAATCAACCTGACTTTACACATCAAGGAGCTAAAAAAAACAAAACAAAACAAAACAAAAACTGAAAATGGATTACCTATGGTCCTTTATTTCTCTCTAGGAGATACTAATATCTGTATACCTTTGTTCAGAGCAGTGCAATTCATACTAGCCAACAGGTGGAAGCAACTCAAGTGTCCACTAATGGATGAATAAACAAAATGTGGTAAATAAATACAAAGGATTATTATTCAGCATTAGAAAGGAATGAAATTCTGACATATGCTACAACTTTGATCAACCTTGAGAACATTATGTTAAATGAAATAAGCCAGTTAAAGAAAGACAAATATGGTATAATTCTACTCTTATGTCTTACCTAGAGCAGTCAAATTTATAGAGACAGAAAGTACAATGGTGGTTGCCAGGGTCTACAGGTAGGTGGAAATGGGGAGTGACTTAATTGATAGAGTTTCAGTTTTTGCATGATGAAAAGAGTTCATGGATAGGTTGTATAACAATGTGAATGTTTGTTACACTACTGAACTACATGCTTAAAATGTTTAAGAAGGTAAATTTTATGTATAGTTTACCACAATAAAAAAAATTTAATAATGTACTGTAGAGTTTGTAGATAAAACAGGACAACAGGAGAAAGGGTGGCAGA